GGCGGACCACGCGCGGGGCAGGGATCGGCTCAGCCGAGGGTCCAGGGCGCAGCACCCCGCACTGGCCTTAAGGGTTCCCGGAGACACAAACTCGGACGCGGGTCCCGAAGCGCGGATCTGCGGGGAGGAGCCGGGGCAGCCCGCTAGGCGCGGGTCTCCCATTTGTCGCCGTTTGCATGCTGCCCAGTGTGTGCGGCAGGACGCCCTAGAGGTTGACAGGAAGGCACGTGCGGAGGCAGCCCTGAAGACCCCTCTCCGCTGTGGGAAAGGGGTTCCCCACACAATCCGACCCGGTCTCGACCTCGGACCCTTCCAGAACAAGCTGCCCTCGGGTCCCACCGCGCCCAGGTAGGAAGCTTGGACAGAGTCTCCACCTGCCTCCTTTTGCAAATGTTTCTGGCCTGGGGGTTGTTCCAAGACAGAAATCGATTCATCGGAAGCAAGCCCACCTCACAGACCCACACTCACGCACACTCAGTCTGCAGGTCCCCGCACAGCCCGCGGAGATCTCCATGTGCATAAAACCGAAGGCCAGTGGTCTCCTTGGCCTCATGAAGCCACAGCTCTTTGAAGTGAGAGCAGGAGGGGATTCCTCCTGCACTGGGAGAAATGGTCCTTTGGGGAGATGACAGAGAAGCAAATGCTGCCCAGGTGTGTAATCACATTTGGGCACACTGGAGGGAGCATGTGGAGGCCAGGTGTGAGGTGCCCCCTCATTCAAGGGATGAGGATCCCGAGGCTCACAGGGATAAGCCTGCATGGAGCCCATGTCTCCCAGAATCTCGGGTTTCTAGAACAATCCTAGAAAGAGAGTGAGCCAGGTGCAGGAGGTGGCTGTAGGTCAGGCCTACCTTTCCCCACCAGCGGTTCAGAGGAAGGGGCAGTTCCCCGCCCACCCTTGCCCCAAGGTGGCCCTCACCATGGGGCTGATGGGGTGAAAAAGGCCTTCCCAGGTCCTCAGAGACTCAGGGATAAAATGAGGCTGATGGCCCGGAGGCAGCACATGGGAAGGGCCTGCATCTGTGACCCGCTGTGTGACCTGGGGCAATAGTACTCCAGTAACACTCGGTGTGCCAGGCGTCTTCCTACACCCTCCCCCATGTATCTTGCTCAACCTTCAGGACAGTCCTTTGAGATAAGTACTAGTACTGCACCTTCTACAACAGAAATTGGGGACAGAAAGATAGAACTTGGCCAACATCACAGGGAGGAGTGGGGTGGAAGCGGGACTGAAATTCATGCCTTTCACACCCCCAAGCCCTCCTCTTAAGCACCTGCCATCTCGCCTCGACTTAGCAAATTGCTTATCCAGTCCGAGCTTGTGTCCTCATATATACAGACAGCATCAGCGTCAGACAGAATGGATGCAATAAATATTGTGGGATGAGTGAGTGAATGAATGAACCGTCCCCCCAGGATGATTACAAACTGCTCATCTGATGAGCCTCTCCGGAGCACCCGGCGTGCCAGGCCTGGAGGAAGCATTAGCTCTGCTCCATGCGGACAGACACCTGGAGCGCTCCTGTCTGAGTGGCCCTGCCCTCACTGGCTCTGTTTTTCTTGCTTTCCCTTCAGAGACACCAGACTCTGCCAACTAGAGAATTTAAATAACCTGATTCTTATCCACTTTTCCATCCAGAGAAGCCACACCAAGTCCAGGCCTCCTTTTTTTTTCTCCTTTAAGCATTTTTGTGTAAACAAGGACCATTTTACAAAGCCCTCTCTGCCACACTCTGTTTCACCTCTGCCCAGCCCCTCCAGGCATGAGAACACCAAGCCCATCTGTATTTCTTCTAGAACCCCCTCACCACACACACATACACACACAACAGCACCTGAGATACACACACCTCTAACTTATCAGCTAAGGCAAAGACGGCTTTGGAGGAGACCACATAGGAAGCACACACAAGCTTTCAGCTATGCCCCCGGGGGGCCCCCGCACCCACGACTCCAGACACTGCTGCAAGAACCAGTCCCCCCAGGAAGCCTTTGGGTCTTGAATTTGACCACAGAGGGCCAGAGTTGGTGGTGGCTGCCTACTCAGACTCCCCCTCTGAGATTATCTTTTCACCAAAGATGAGAGAAATGAACTCAATAAAGTGCTTGGGAAATATCCAGGTCCAAGCCAATGGAAAAACCAAGCGAGGAACCCAAGGAGTACTGGTCTCCAGTGGGCCTATGGATCCATCTCGTCCAAAAGTGGGAATTAAAAGAGGAGGATGAAAATGTTCTGGAATGAGATAATGGTGATGGTTGCACAACTTTGTGAATATACTGAAACCTACCGAACTACACACTTTAAAATGGTGAAGTTTATGGTATGTAAATTTATCTCAATTTTTAAAAAAAGGAACCACCATTCCTATGCTTCCTTGCTGACTAGAAATACATGGCATGAACCCAGCTGGTTGCCTGAAAGCCCCGGCACCCTTGATAAACACTAAAACACTAACTCCCCCAACTTTAGAAGATCTCATCTTGGTGGTGGGGAACACAGGAGGGCTAGGCATCCTATGGCTGCAGGTGATCTCTGCCGGGGTCCTAGCTGTGGTGGCCACAGGGGCACGTAGCCGAGAAGCCCAGGCAGACTGTCCCTTACACGCCTCGCAGACAGGACTGCAGGCTGGACCTTGCAGAAGAAAGGGATCTTTGGAGGAAGGGCTTTCACACTGCAGCGCTGATGACAGAGAATCGCTCAGTGGGGTGATGGACAGGCCAAGCGTGTGCATGTGTGCGTGCGTGCTTGCGTGTGTGCATGTGTGTGTGTGTGTGTGTTGGGTAGGTGGCATGTCGGAGATGCTCCAGAGACCCTGCCTAGTACTTAAAAGGCCCTTGCAGTCAACAAGCACCAGTTTCAAGACCCCATTTCTGAATAAAGAAGCCCAACTTGACTTGTCAGGTTGATGAAGAATTCACCACCAGGTTAAAAACAGCAAATAAATATAAGAAGTCAAAATACTATACAAAGGGGAGAATTACTTTAAAGTATACTCATTTCTATGCTGACTGCACATTTTACTTCTATGTAGCTTTAAGGGTCTGTTTTTATCCCAAAGTCATTCTTTGGCTTATGCATCAAATCAACCTCTTTCCTAATCAAGGACAAAGAAAGGTCAACTTATTCTTAGGGGATACCTATCAATTCATCAATCAATAGATTGATGGACAGCTATTTAAGGCATATATCCCTAGTATTATGCCCACTTAGCAGATGATAACTGAGCCTCAGAGAAGTTTCAGTCCCACATCCTTGTCTAAGGTCATACAACTTGTAAGCAACAGGCCTGGCATTTGGACCTCTGCTGGACCCCAAAGGCAGGGCAGTTAACCACTCCACTCTGCACCCCCACAGGACACAGAGGGCACCATGTGACAAAGGTGTCAGGCATGTGGAAACCCCTCCATTTTTATTGTAATGCATGGAACTCCCTCATCTCAAGCACAGAAAAGCAAGCCATGCCCAGGTCTGTTTGCCGCTGACATGCTTTCATAAATACATGTAACTCGCACACCCCATTTCTCCAGCTTGAAGTAGAAACAGGGCCAGTTTCTTTTAATGCCCAAACTGACAATGACTCTAAGCTCCAGTCCTAAGGATTATGGGATGGACATTTTCTCCTTCCAAGGATCCCAACCCCCAAAGAAACCAGGGAGAACCAACTCACCCCAAGGCTGCCAGTTGCTATCTCATAGCTAGGGTAGCCACTAGCCACCTGTCACGATTTAAACAAATTAATTTTTAAAAATTTAAAATTCAAGTACTTGTTGAATTAGCCCAATGGGCTAGAGGCTACTGTATTGGACAACACAGCTCTAAAGTCTTTCCTAAAGCAAGCCAGAGCCTCAATAAGTTGCAAACCTGGACTGCATTCCCACATAGGCTCGCTGGTCTCTGGTTATGTTCAGGGACCTCATGAGAAAGACCCCAGGACAACCCCCTACGCCTACTCTAAGGATCTTGTTGAGAAACTGTTCATTATGTGAAACATGGCAGGTATTGGTAGGGGGTCTCCATGGTAATGCACTTTTGGAGTCTGGAATCCCCAAACAAATGCAACATGGTACGGAGACTTTTCTATGGTCACGACATTGTCCTTTGAGCTAGTTGAAGGTTGAAGGCCTTTCAACAGGAAGCCAACAAATGTGCTTTGTTCATAACGCAGCAGTCTGAACACGAGCCCCAGGCTGATATGTGAAGACAGTAGGTGGCTGAGTTTTAGCAAAATATTTTCAAAGGTCTGATGGGTCACTTGTCCTGGGCAGCCCAGTGCTGAAGGCCTGGCAGCTCACAACAGGACCAAAACTAGATCTGGTCGGCCCATAGACCAAGCAAGGGCCTGGAGGCTGTCTCTCCGCAATCGCTGGAGGCAAGCGGACAGGCCCTGGGCCCTGCAGCCGCAGCTGCTGAAACCTGTGGTCAAAAGGGCCAGGCCTGCCAGAACTGCTGAGGTCTTCAGAACCTGAAGGCTGCCTGGCCAGTGCCCACCTGCCCTGTTACTATGAGCCCCAGTCTGAGAGATCCTTCCCTGTCTTGCCCACTGGGTCTGGGGAGACAGCATTAAAGCCGCTTTTGTTCTATTCATATCTTATCAAGGTCACAAGTGACCTCCTGTTGCTAAATCCACTGGTCGATTCCATGTCCCCAGGTTGCTTGGCCCATCAGCATCATTTGACACCGTGGGCCCCTCCCTGATCATCAAAACTGTTTTTTTCTCTTCGTTTGGATCTTCAGTCCGCTCTGTCTTAGTTCTCGCCTACTTCACCGGCCACTCCTTCTCAGTCTCCTCTTCTGGTTCCTCCTCTTTGTGTGGGAGGACCCAGGGCTTGGTCCATGGACCCCTTCTCTACCTACTCTCTGTCTCTGGGTGATTTCATTCAGCCTCATGGCTTTCAAAAACATCTGTTCCCTGATGACTCCTAAATTAGTATCTGCAGCCGTGACCTCTCCCCCAACTTCCAAACTCAAACGTTGTATACTCAAAACTAAAGTCCTGGTTGCACCCTGCCTGTCCAGGCTGCTCCCCTGAAGCCTTCTCTGTCTCCATAAATGGCACATCCATCCTTCCAACGCTCTGGCCAAAAACTTTGCAAGCCATCCCTGACTCCTGTCTTACCCCACATCCAATCCATCAGCAAAGCCTGCTGGCTGCACTTTCAACATACAGAATGCAAACACTTCTCTGTTTTTTCTCATCATAGTCACTGCTGCCACGCTTGTCCAAGCCACCATCATTCTCTTGTTTAAGTGATTGTCACAGCTTCCTAACTGGTTTCACTTTGCCCTCGCTCCCCAAAACCCACTCTCAACACAGCATCCAGGAATGATCTATTTAGAATGAAGTCAGGTCACATCACTCCTCTGCTCAAAACCCTCCAGTGGCTCCTCCTCTCACTCAGAGTCAAAGCCAGAGCCCCTTCTGTGGCCTCCAACTCACTCTTGATCTCATTTCTTACAGCTCTCTCCCTTGCTTCCTCTGATCCAGCCTCCTTGCTGATCTTGGAACACACCAGGCACCGTCCTACCTCAGGGCCTTTTCACGTGCTGTTCACCTGTCCCGGATTGCTCTTCCCCCAGACACGCACATGGCTTGCTTCCCCTTCCTCCCAGTCTC